GGTGAGGGAGACACGGTGGGAAGAGGAAAGGGAAGGCCACGGCAGAGCACCGGCAAGAGCTGGTTGGGCCACCCAGGACACGTGGCCCTGTGCCTGGGGTCCCTCTGCTGAGGGGGTGGGAGTGGACACGTGCATTAAGTTTTGGGGGGTTGTGGGTGAGATGTCCGGGGATGGTCGCCAGGGAAACCATCCAGGAGGCAAGCCTTGAGGCTGCGGCTGGGCCACAATGGGCAGGGGGGAGAAAATACCCCAGAGGCCAAGCCCCTGGGAGCCCTAGGGACGGGTGGACGAGAGATTCCTGCAGACACACATGTACGTAGACGTGCGCGCGCACACAAACACACACACACACACACACACACAAACACAGAGGGCGGCAAGAAAGGGAGGGAAGGAAGAAGAAAGGGAGGTCAGGTGGTAGGTAGAGACAGACAGACCCGCTGGATGGAGATCCAGCCACATGTGCATGGACACACACACACACACACACACACACCAGGGGGTGGGACAATCAAAGAAAGAGACAGGCATTTAATGAAAACACAGGAAGAGGGAGGTGAGAGGCAGAGGCTGACACACGGAGAGACAGACAGATGGACACAGGCCCAGGATCCCAGAAGACATGCTCCAAGGGAAGTACAAGTCCCGAGCTGGGTGGGAAGAGCCCCAGAGAGGGGAGGGCTGAAGACAGCAAGGACCCAGACAGACAGACAGACAGAGAGCCCATCTCCCAGCCCCTGCCCCGCCCGCCCCCCACTCCAGCCCATCCAGCCCCATCTGGCTCCCTCCCCATCCGTCCTGTCTCTCTCTCTGTCTTTGCCTGTCTCTTTCTCTCTGCAAACCACAGCTTTTTGGAGCCCCCGAGAGAGAAATGGTAAAAGAATACAGAGATGAGAGAAGACGCAGACGAGGGACTGTGTGTGTGGTGTGTGTGCGCACACACGTGTGCCCTGCACACAGTCTGGTCCGGAGAATTTCACGAGAGAGACGGGAGGAGATGAAAGGAGCAGAGGATGAACGAAGACGTCGCAGCGCCCAGCACAGCCTGGGAGGCAGCGGGAGCAGGGACACAGCATGCTGCACACACCACACCACACACCCGGCACGCACGACACACTCTGCACATACAGCACACCCTCCATATACCACACACTGTGCACACAGCACACACCCTACAC